GCCTGTCAGAGCCCGTGAGAATTCGTACCGGGTGAGAGAGTTACTTTATTAACTTTATCAGCACTGTGAAGCAGTGCTGGGGAGATCTTGGTGGATACAAAGGTGACTGTCCCCGGAGAAAACTTCCGGACAGGAGGGACACCTGTTGACGGAAGGCTGGCTGCCTGCTGCGTGAGCTCAGCAGCCGTGACAAGGCGCCGGCCGAGCGGCTTAAACAGCACACGTTGGTTGTGTTGCTGGGCTGGCCGTTGAGCAGTCCAGAGCAAGGGGGTCGGGGCCGGCAGGGCTGGTCCCTCCTGGGGCCTGGCCTTGACTTGCAGACGGCCCTCCTTCCTTCCTGTGTCCTCACGTGGTTGTCCCTCTGCGTGTGCATGTTCTAATCTCAGAATTCTGAGGACACCGGTGCTGCTGGATGAGGGCTCACCCCAATGGCCTCATTTCACCTTAATGACCTCTTTAAACACCAGTCACATTTTGAGGGCCCAGGGGTTAGGACTCCAACTGCAGTCCAGCCCATAACACCCGCCTTCTGGCTGTGGCCTTGTCAAGTTGCCCTCTTCTTGGGCCTCCGTGCCCGCCTCTGAGAATGCATGGGCTGCACCCAGGCCCCCATCGAGCGCGTGACCCGTGGGAGTGTGTGACACTGCGCTGCCACCTGCCTGCTCCCTTGCTCTCTCATCAGCTCCTGGAAGCTGGCGTGGGCTTCCCTTCAGCGTCAAAGCCTCCACACTGCTGGGCGTCACTGCAAGGCTAGGAGCGGCGCCGAGCACCTGTGGCTGACGCGGCACTTGAAGGACCCGTTCGTGAAGGCTGCCAAGGCGGAGAGTTACCGGTGTCGAAGCGCCTTCAAGCTTCTGGAGGTGAACAAGCGGCACCGGATCCTGTGGCCCGGCCTCCGGGTGTTGGACTGTGGGGCGGCTCCCGGCGCATGGAGCCAGGTGGCTGTGCAGAAAGTCAACGCCGCAGGCGCAGGTGGGGCCTCCTGTGGCTCTTAGGGCCACCACGGGTCTGCAGACGCCAGGCGATGGGCAGAGGGCAGAGGGCACGGAGGGGTTGTTTGTTTAGTAGTAACAATGATAACAATAAGACACTGACGTTTTCAAAGTGAAAGAGAAGGTACAAAGGCATCATGAGAATTAAAATCACCCCAAATCACACCACACTGATAGGTACATGAAGGTGCTGGGGTGCGTCCTTCCAGAATTTATGCCATACACACTTTCTTTTAGAAGGCTTTCTACTACAGTCTTGCTGCTGGGAGCCGTAATGCAGCTCTTTTTTTAACTTAGGGCATATGGACAGCTTTCCACGATGGTACCACTGACTCACCCCTGAGGTCTCAGCCCTGTGGCTGGGGCTCTGGATTTTCTACTCTGGCTCAACGTGAGGGACTCAGCGGTTATGTCTTATATTTTAGGATTTTGTTTATAAAATGGTTCCCCTGGTTAACAACAGATAAACCAGCCTCCCACGCACCTGGAAAACTGTGTCCTTTTGAATGGTTGCGTGGTGCTGCAGATGATGGCGCTACTGTGGCATCAGGGAGCTTTCTAGTCTCTTGCTAGCATGCCGGGTGCTGCAGGGGGCTGTCCCTGTCACCTTCTGTAAAGTCTGAGTGCTGCATGCCCTGGCGTTCTGTGACAGTTCACAAAGACCTCTCCCAAACACCTTAGGGTGGGGACGTTTATGCCCATTTTCCTAATGAGAAAATTGAGGCTCAGAGTTTAGTGACCAGCTGAAAGTGCAGGCCTGGGATCCCTGCTTGCTGGTTCATGCCTCGGCCCTACCGTGTGGCAGGGGTGTCTGAAGGGCTTGAGAACAGCTTCGAAAGCTTTTAGCTCGAATATCCTTGATGAAGTGAATGACTGTCAGAACCTTTAGTTCCGTGTGCCACCGCAGCCTGTCCCTATATCTGCTAACAGCTGGTTTCATGGGTTCCTGTTCCCCAATCGGTCATCAGGAAAAGCAGGAATGGGCCAAGTTTAACTTGTAGGGAGAAATGGCAGACGCAAAATGTGCATAAAGTGACTCAGTTTCTTTCTCTCCCAGAAGTTGCAAAACTGCACCCCATTTGCCTTTTGTGGACACCTGAGGTTGTAACATGGGGTGTTGAAGGAGAGAGTTTAAGTTCCTGAAGTGAGATGTCAGATATCTCACTTAACAGGGCTGAGAAGGGAGAGTTTGGGCCTTTGGAAAATGAGGTGCTCAGCAAAATACCTAGACTTATAACCTTGAGATAGAAATAAAACACACATTTCCCCTCCACCCCCAGGGGATCCGCCTTTTTACTAAACAGACTGAACTAGCAAATCTGTGACAATACCCTTATCAGCCCTGACATGCATCAGCAGAGCAAAAGCCCTCAGTGTAAGGAAGTGACGCAGAGAGGGACACCAGGGCCTGTGAAGGTGGAGGCCTTGAATATGGGAGCAGCCTGAGGAGGGGAGGTGGAGGCTGGGGACAGTAGTCGTGCAGGCAGCAAGCTGTTTTAAGTAAGGTGAAACGATGACATCTTTGAATTTCACAATTGGTATCACAACCCAAATGCGGGCAAGGTAGCAATTTTTGGACCTTATTTTGCGTCTGCCCTTTCTCCCCATCTTGGCTTGTTTCTAACAGTTTCTACATGGAAAGAAATTGGATTAAGCAGCAAAATGGATTTGTTGATTTAGTCCAGAGGCGCTTTCTATACTAGTGGGTCATTTTCTGTTTTAGTATATCTAGAAGAACACTCAGAGATAAGAAACTTCAGGGAGAGCAGCCTCTGGGAATGAAATGAAATCAGAGTTGGAGCGGAGTCCTGGGGTGTGGGACAGCCACTTTGCCTCTCTGGGTGGGCCTCAGTTTCCTCAGATGTAAAGTGAAAGACCACTGTTCCTCCACCAGGTGATTTTGAAGGATGTATAGAAAGTGGGAAAAGGCCCGTGTCCACATATTTGCTCATTAGCTCTTTTCCTTGGTCCTGACTTTTATTACTTTGTTGCATGTGTTTTTGTGGGAAGATTCAGGGTGTAAATAAATAATGCACTCACGGTTTCTTCCTTAGAGCCCAGCACTCCTGTTGGCTTTGTGCTTGGGGTAGATCTTCTTCACATATCACCCCTGGAAGGAGCAACTTTTTTGTGCCCTGCTAATGTAACTGACCCAGGAACCTTCCAGAGAATCCAAGAACTGCTTCCTGGTGGGAGAGCAGATGTAATTCTGAGTGACATGGCACCCAATGCCACAGGGGTCCGGGGCCTCGACCATGACAGGATCATTGGCCTGTGCTTGTCCCTCCTGGACATGGTCCCGGACATCCTGCAGCCCGGGGGAACACTCCTTTGTAAAACCTGGGCTGGAAGCCAAAGCCATCGCTTACAGAAGAGACTGACAGAGGAATTCCAGAACACGAGGACTGTGAAACCGGAAGCCAGCAGGAAAGAATCATCAGAGGTGTACCTCTTGGCCACACAATACCGAAAAGCAAAGGGGTCTGTGAAGGACTGAGGTTTCTTTTGCCATTTCTGGTCCTTTCACTGCAAATGTAGGCTGTGTGCTTTCCTGAAATGTGGCTGGGGAG